CCAATTAAAGATTAATTAATTAAAATACAACACAAATGAATATAATCTATGAAACAAAAACAGACTCACAAATATAGAGAACAAACTTGTGGTTGCCAAGAGGGAGAGGGGTAAGGGAGGGATGGATTGGGAGTTCAGGATTAGCAGATGTAAACTATTATATATAGAATGGGTAAACAACAAGGTCCTACTGTAGAGTACAGGGAACTGTATTCACATGCAACAGAAATTAAACGCAACATTGTAAATCAACCATACGTCAATAAAATTAAAAAAAAAGACTCTGACAATTGTGGAGCAGGTCTAGAAGGTAATTAGTCCAAATTGAAACAGCAGTAAGAGGACTCCAAGGAAAATGTCTGAGAGTAAGAATCAGATGGTTTCTGGGTAATTGAATGCTCCAAGAAGAACATGTGTAGGAGAGGAAAAGTGGAATTTATTCCAAACAATAAGTAAAATGTGTGATAATCTGGAAGCTATTTAAGGTAGAAGGAGGAAAGCATATATTTCTTTTCCCGAGGAAGCAGGGAAAAAAACAATCAGAAACTCTCAACCAAAACAAAACTAAACTAAAAATTGTGTAAGAACACTGTGATTCAAATAAATTAAACTGGGCCAGATTCTGAGAAATTAGGGGCAAGTAAGAAAACGGCTTCCACTTAACCTTGAACATTTACCTTCTAGTACCAAACATATCATAATATTGAGGCCTGAAGGAGGAAGTATTATCCTAGAACATTACCAGGATAACAGTATTACATAGCAATATTTTCATAGTCAACATATCAACTATCAATCTATTGATTATCAATGTACTGACAAGCATGGAAGACCCAATCATGACTAAAAAACAAAATGTAAATATTGTTGAACAGAAGTCACTGTCTAAGGTAGATAAATCAAGAAATACTGAACGGGGATGTGGGTAGCACCACCAGAAGTAAAAACAAAAGTGGTTAAAGCAGTAGCTTCTGGGAAGTGGGACTGAGATACTGAAGCATATGGCCACTGCTTATTATCTGTTAAGAAACTCATCATCAGGCTTCTTTACTATGTAACTTTTTTTTTTTTTTTTTTGCGCTACGCGGGCCTCTCACTGCTGTGGCCTCTCCCGTTGCGGAGCACAGGCTCCGGACGCGCAGGCTCAGCGGCCGTGGCTCACGGGCTCAGCCGCTCCGCGGCATGTGGGATCTTCCCGGACCGGGGCACAAACCCGTGTCCCCTGCATCGGCAGGCGGACTCTCAACCACTGCGCCACCAGGGAAGCCCTATGTAACATTTTTAATCATATGGTATCACCTTGATTAAATTTTTGAAAAGTAATATTAAGAATGAGCTTAACAAGAAATGGACAGAAACTATATAAACTGAAATCTTTGTCCAGAATCTTGAGTAAAGACTTGATAAATGGATAAATGGAAAGATATGCCTTTCTTTGAGACTGGAAGATAATATCAATTTTTCTTAGATTCGTGTGATTCCAGTGAATAAAACAAGAGGATATTTTGGGGCAATTAACATATAAAAATAAAAGAATTCTGAAAACAAAAGCTTAGGAGGAGGGGCTAGTAACTCTACCACTTATTAAAATGTACAAAGATTAGGCAATTTGGAGATGAAATAAATAGATGGAAAAGAATAGAAAGTTTAGAAACAGAATTGAAAGTATATGAGTATTCAAGGTATGATGCCAGGGGTTTTTCAAATTAGTGAAGAAAAGACAGATTTTTAAAATTATATTGTGCTTAATCAACTGATCACCTATTGAAAAGAAAAATAAGATTGATTTCTGTCTTATTTCTTATACCAAAATAAATTCCATATTTAAACTGATTTAAACAGTGATTTCTGGTTCAAATGTTAAGCATAATAAGGAAACTTATGGGTACATTTATATCTAATCTTGCAGTGAGAGAAGTCTTTTTAAGCAAAATATAAACACCTTAAATAAAAGGAATGGCAGATTAAACCACATAGAAATTTAAAATTTATTTTTGTAAAAAAGTACTGTTAAAAGATAGGGAAAAATATATGGCAGATATAAGAGTAATTTTCTCAATTTATAAAGAGCTGGTTGAAATCAATATGGGGAAAGTAAAGGTCAACGGGGTAGGAAATGGCATAACACATGAACAGGGAGCTTGGAGAAAAGAAACAACTTCCTCCAGGCCTTTGTTCATGACCCCCTTCTCCACCATTTAAATTCTACTCGTCTTCCTCATGAAAGTCAGTTGCTATCATTTTCTACAAACTATTCTTGACTCACCCAAGAGGAATATATCTGTCCTTCCAACTTGCTTCTTATAGCTTTGCCATATTTCTCTTAATGCGCCGTATTTTTCGTTCTTCCATTTCTTAGAGTTGGCCATGTTCATCTTTTTCTTCCACCCCTATTATAAATTTCTTAAGAAGCCATGTCTTCCTCGTCTCAGTCCCCAACACATCAGGTCTTCAGGAACCACTGATAATCCATGTCCAAATAAATAATGTAAACAGGTTCTTCAAGGAATGCGGATCCTGAAGACAATATAAGTCAGTAAGTGTATTTGATTCACATCTCAAACAGACTGTCACTGGGATTTAAATTTCCAGATAAAATCTCAACAAAACTGATAAAGTACCCCTCGTGCAGGACACAACTTATTTTTCAGCCTGTAATAGAAGAAGTATTTCATGGCCCTGCCTTTCACTGGTTTATTCATGTAAGTGACTATAAACACCAATCACGTTGTAACAGAAAGCTTTGCTCTCAAATATAATTCACAGCATCTCATAGTATGTATGCACTTTCAGGGGGCTGAGCTGGGCAGAAGTGAGACGTTTTTACTTCTGAAACTCTGGAAAGAGTAGAGGATAACCCGATGTTCTTGGTCACATTGCTTATCTCACAGCAACAGGTTATAAACCCCTAGCTTCCTGTTCCCGAGCATTTACTGGATGCATAATAGCTGAGTATTCGTGAAAGCTAATGCCGTAGATGAAAACATATTAAGTTGGTTTCTGCCCAAGGCAGCGGAAAGGTACACCTGAATTTTTGGCCTCTAGGTACCAAGAATAAGTCTGTTGGACTTAATCACAAGCTCTCCTGTCACTTTTGGGGAAAGAAATCCATGTCCAGAAAAATTCCTTTTTTTTTCAAAACAGGATGTTTTTCAAAACATCCTGGTAGGTGTTTTGACTCTTCCCCCTTTTACTGTAGAGTCTCTTGGATGTCCACACACTTTCATGCCAGTGACAGCTCTGTTGAAGAAGATCTGATATTTTTATGTGAATCATCTTTGGAACTTGTGTTGCTTGCATTCAGATATAATAAATATTCAATAGAAAAAAAAACACAGGGAAAAAATAATTGCCCTCAATGATAGGTTCTGGCATACTTATGAGGTTAAACGATGTGTTGAAAAATTCTCTGAAGCATTTTTAGGATGAGTTAAAGCTAGTGTTCTCTTTGGCACCCTGTCGAGGAAAGTATTACTGTCCTTGTTGATGCCGTGTTCAAGTATCAGTAACAACATACTTCATACTTTCATTAATGAAACACTTTGTAGGATGATGATATTATAGAAAAATTAACTCAAGGAGAGGTTAAGTGTTTCACACATGGACAAAGGGTAAGAGAAAAAACTTATCTCCTAGTTCAAGATTCATTTAACAATGCATTGTTCCTTTGTTCAAACAGGCCTATTATGTGCTGAGCATTGAACATCGCACTTGTAAAAAAAAAGTTAATTTACTTATCCCTAGTAAAGAAAACTGCTAAGAGAGCTTACTGCGCAGTGAGGCCTGGGAAGTAGTAGATTCCAGACTTCACTGAACACAGGAAGCAATACTTGGAAAAGTACTTGCTTTGGAATCATAATGCCTGGTGCTACTTCTGTTAGTGCCACAAATTAATAGAGTGACTTTGGGATAATCATCCATCTTTAAGCCTCTTTTTCCTTATCTTCAAAAAGAATGAGTCAGGGTAGGTTATCTTTAGGATCCATTTGCCTCTAAGATACTATCAGTGTAACAGAGCTTTTATCTTGGGCTCAGTCCATCTTTGTATTAGCCTGGACCTTATTTCTTGGAATCCCAATACCTGAGAATTCAATTTATGTCTTCCATTTTACTAAAGTCTGTAAAGATTTTTTTAGAGTCACTAGATTCCAATTGTCAACTTTCCCCAACATCATCATAGGTTCTCATTAAGAAACATTTATTGACCACTGATGTGTACAAGATACATGAGTCAATGATGGATATATATATTTAATGAGAAAAACATGTAAGAATGAAACTAACCAAAGATCTTTGCAGAGAGAGAATGAGTCTTTTAGCTAGGCTGGCTTTTGTTGGAATGCTCTAGTTTTAATTATTTTATTTATTTTATTTTATTTTTGATATTGGGTTTCTTCCATGGTCTTGACTCTGTCTTGAAAATTTTTTTAAAAAATCATGAAAAATGTGATCATCTTTATTAAGTTGCTTAGCATGGCCATATCATTTAGAAAAATTTCTTTTTTAAAGAGTCTCATGTTTTTAATATAACTGAAATAATTTGATAGATGGATACTATAAAAGTAAAATTAATGTTATTATTCTCATTTGCCTTTAGACAATCAACTGTAATTCACTATAAAAATAAGTTGTGCTTAACAGCAAAAAAAAAAATACAGCAATCCGTTGGAAATGTTAAATAGTTAGCTTGCTAAAAGGGAAAAACAAGAAAGGCAATAAGCAAAGGTTCCTGAATTTTGTTTTGATTTGATCAGCAGTATTTACCACCAACAAAGCTAATTTTAATTCAGAGTAATTATTTTAGTTTTCCACATTGAATAGCTAGATATCAGGCTTTTAGAATCTTTGTTCTTAGCCCTTTCCTATCTGTCGAATGAAGGCTGTTCTTTCCCTGCTGAATCAATAATATTGAAATCAAAGTCCTCAACACCATATACTAATTCTAAGTTGCATGTAAGCCCAAGGCTAGTGTTTAATACTTCCATTCTTTTCCTCTGTAGGCATTTATGTCCATGTTCCAGATCCTTACCCAGGAAGGATGGGTTGACGTCATGGACCAAACGCTAAATGCTGTGGGACACATGTGGGCACCAGTGGTCGCCATCTATTTCATTCTGTATCACCTCTTCGCCACTCTGGTGAGTTTAGCATTTCTTTTCAATTATGTCTTACAATTCATAATGGGATGAACATTAACAGATTTTTGGCCTATTGTCAATTTCAGAATCAGAACCAAAGAACCAAGGTAGAGTAGTCCCGTTGGATGAGGTCCCTTCCATTCTAAATGTATATGAGTCAAAGAACTACTTGAGGAACTAGATTTCAGATCTAAGTAAGAAGTTGTCTCCATCAAGGTCAAGTGGTTTACATGAGGGAAAACAAGATAAAACAAAATGGAAATCCCACATCCATGTACTGACTTATCCATCTCTAAGCATTCACACCCTCAGCGATCTAAGGATCAAACCAGAACTACATTATTTTTTTTTTTTTATCATAGAGAGACACTCTCTTCAGTTTCACTGCATCCTCTTCACAGATGTAATGAAACTGAAAACAGAAGCTGGAGACCTCAGGGTGCAGTCAGTTAATTAGAAACTAGCTCAGTGTTACTACACTTTGTATGACTAAAAGAAACACATGGGGAAAAATAAAACACATGGCTGCAAATATTGTAAAAAGCGTGATAAAAACTGAATACCAAAATCCAGGAAAAATTTTCCTCTGTCACACAGACTTTTCTCTTCGATGTATTTCTATTAAAAAGAAAGGAAAAAGTTATGAAATGTGGCCTATGACATACTAAGGGATGTAATCCTTAGGTCTTTCTAATGACAAATGTACATCTCCGTATAATAAATTTGTACATATTTAAGAACCAAATTTAATCTCTAATATTATGCTAAGAGTTCCAAGGTAAGGACCCAGAATGTTACCCTTCATCAGGAACACAGGAAATAAAAACAACCGCTACTCTTTATTGGGTGGCAAAATTCTTTATAATTTTATTCCTAATATCTGGAACAACAAAGGTAGGTCACATTCCCACATTACAGATGATGAAACTGAGGAGTTAATTTGCCCAGTGTCACAAAGAGTGTAAATGTTAGAGCCAGAACATTCCCAAGTCTGCCTGGTCTCAAAGCCCGGGGTCTTGCAACTATTTGTTGCTGCTTCCCTAGATTCTGAAGCTTGTCATTGTCACTGAAAATGTCTGCAGCAAATCAAACCTCTGCCCAAGTCACTAAGATAAAACAAATTACATACAGCCTCTAAGGTCCCTTCCAAATCTAAATGTCTATGAATCAAATAAGTGCTGGAGAAACTACATGCATTAAACTAGAGGTCGCATTTGCTATAGGCAGAGACCTTCAAAACGATAACACGTCCATCAAAAGGTGTATGAGGATACATTGTTATGTGGCGGAAGGTCCTGGGCTCAAATAGTGGAATCACGTAGAAATAGTTTTGGCATTTTTTACATGGGGTGACTTTTAAAATATTCACAAAAGGAAAGAACACTGAGCAGTGGGAATGGAGGTCTGGCTTCTAAAGACGAATCTGGCTGCACTGGTGTTGGCAGGCACTTGGCCCTAAGGTCTTTGCATCCTCCCTGACAGGACCTCTAATCTGTGTCGTTCATTTATTCATTCATTCATTCGTTTATTCATGAACTCAACTAATGTTTATTAAGCACCTACTATGTGTTTAAGTTGGCGACTATTGATCATGGGTTAAATGCAGGATAGATGGTTGAAATCATCTACGTATGGGAATAATGTCTAACTGTTGTTCTGTTAAAACAATATAATCTTCTGCTCTCCCCACTGCAGATTTTTCACACTTAAAGATTTGATTCTTAAGTCAGAGACTAACACAGTATGTAAGCAGGAAGAAAAATGATCTAGCCTAGTAAATTATTTAGCAAAGTAATTTTTTTTCAAGTGGATTTCTACAGGGATCACTAATATAATGAAATAAAATATTAAATCTGGTAATAGACTTCTTGGGCATTCTGAATTTTCCTTATTGGGCCAAAAACATGGCATTGATTTTGGAACACTGAAGCACTTGAAAGGACTGCTGAGATTCACTTGAGCCTTTAGGAACCTACAGAGCACAGCTTGAAAACCCATATCTAATTACACACCTTCATTCTACTGATTTAAGTGTCTGCCCAAAACACTCATTGTACAGTAATGTTTTTCATTGTGATTTTCAAAAAGTAGTTCTAAAACTGACAATTGAAATCGTTCTTTTGATCATAATTTTTTCAAATCTGTAAAGCAATTGAGAATTGAAAAGTCTACATGTCAATGAGGGCAGTCTGGTAAATATGGTAGAGTACAAGACTACAGACTTGAAGTCCAAAAACCTGGATTCAGGATCTCTCTCTGCTGGTCACTAGATGTGACTTTGGGAGAATCAGACAACTTCTCTGATCTCTGTGTTGTGTTATATCTGAAAGTGAGAATAATAAGGCCCAACACACCTAGTTTCCAAGGTTGCCATGTACATATGAGGTGAACTTGTATTTTTGAGGATGTTTTAGCCATGGTGTAAGAGGATGGTCGTAACTCTCACCAACACTGAGTTCCTTCAAGTTTAAATAAGATAGTATGAGCATTTCAAGCTATATATTAATAAATGCTAAAATGTTATTGTTATTTCAGATGTTTCTAATTTATAGAAGTAAAGTATTATTGATCAGTTTAAAGTATCATTTATGCCCAAGTCCGTCTCTATTTTCATCTTTCCCCACGCCCCTTCTCCCAGACAATGACTATGATGAATTGGATACGAATCTGTCTTCCAGTTTTTAAATCATATTTTACTAAATTTAGCATACTATCAACTCTGAAAAGACTCATATTTTGTGTAACATTAACAAAAAAAACAACAGTTAAACTATACACATAGATTGTAAGGTGCATCCCAATTTCAGATTGTTAAAGTGTGAAGATAAATGTGCACCTTAAAATCAATGGATTACAGTAGTTTCCCACACATATATGTATCCATTAAAAATATAGAATGTTTTTAATTTAAGGTTATCATCTACAGACATTTTATACCCTTAGCTTTTAAGATCAGTATTATTTTTCAGCTTGAGAGTACTGCTCCAGTGCACTGATGGCCATCCTTGGGGGAGATGGGAGATGCCTGGTGTGCACACTTCTCTTGCTGTTATGACCCTACTCCATGCTGAGGCCAACTTACCTTTCATCATGTGTTTCCCTCCTTACAAATCATTAGGAGTAGCAACTTTCAGAATAAATAGTATCAAACTCTACATGTGTTCTCAGTTGAGTTTTTGACCAAGTATTGTTTTTGAAATCTTTTCATCTTAATACACATAGAGCTAATTCAGTCATTAGTATATAGAGTCATATAGTAGTCCATGGACTGAATATGCCATGTTTGCTTCTCAGTTCCCTTCCTGGTAGATATTTAGGTTGTTTTCCAATGTTTTGCTCTTATACTGTTGCAACTAATATGTTCGTACTTTGGGTCCAGTTGTGTGAGTTTCTTTAGGGTATATGCCAGAAAGTATCAATAGAATCCAGGATCCTGGATGCTGCCCAAATGGCTCCATTGCACAGGTCTGCAAACCCACACACCAAACCTGGTCCACAGGCTTTATTTCTACAGCTTGTGAGCTAAGAATGGTTTGTGCATTTTATTTATTTTTAATTTATTTTTATTTATTTTTGGCTGTGTTGGGTCTTCATTGCAGTGGCTTCTCGTTGCAGAGCACAGGCTCTAGGCACGGGGGCTTCAGTAACTGCAGAGCGCGGGCTCAGCAGTTGTGGCACATGGGCTCAGCAGTGGTGGTTCGGAGGCTCTGGAGCACAGGCTCAGTAGTTGTGGCACATGGGCTTAGTTGTGCCGCGGCATGTGGGATCTTCCCAGACCAGGGCTCGAACCCGTGTCCCCTGCAGTGGCAGGCAAATTCTTAACCGCTGCACCACCAGGGAAGCCCAGTTTGTGCATTTTAAATGGTTGTGTAGGTCCATACGCAATATCCTTAGTGTTGCCTCTTGGCCCTCAAAGCCTAACGTATTTGCTATCTGGAACTTTAATTTGCAGACCCCCGTTCTACAGGCAAACTGCACTAATTTACAGTCCCACATGCAGTGGTTGAGAATTCCTGTGTTCTTACATTCTCATGTATACTGGATATTGTTAGACTTTTAAGATTTTGACAGTCTTGTGAGTTGAATGGTGATATCTCTTTGCCTTAACTTGCGTTTTGGGGGTTTCCATGGTTATTAATAAGGGAGCACCTCTTAGTATGTTTATTGGCTGTCTTCTTTGACTTCTTTGACTTCTTGACTCACCCAATCATGTGCTTTCTCTCTTTTCCTAAAAGCTAGTTTGTCTTTCTTAAATTCGTTGTTGTAGTACTACATAGATTCTGGATATTATCCATTAACTACTATATATGTCGCAGATATCCTCTCTCAGGTAATATTTTATTATTCCAATTTGTCTGTGATGGCTTTTGACGTTATATTTTGATGTGGCCAGAACTATCAGTTTTTCACTTACGGTCAACATTTAATTTGGACTCATGTTTAAGAAATTCTTTCCCACCCTGAAGTAATAAAAATATTCTCCCCTATCTTCTTATAATTATTTTAAATTTTTGCCTTTCATCTTTAGATCTTTAACCCGTCTCAACTTACTGTTTATATATAGTATAAGTTGGATGAAATGCATTATTTAAACAAAACAAATCAATTTTTCTCATCCAGATATATGTGACGTTTTTAAAACTTTGAGATGTGTAGTTGGTTTCATCTATAAAGCAAAGAGGTCAATTCAGATTTTCTAATTTATAATTTTTTTAAATGAGAAGTAATTAATTCAGTGAAAGAAAACACTATAATTAAATTTTCAAAACTGCAAGTGTTACTTCTGTACTACCCAAAAAGTCTAGGGACTGAAGTCACTTCCCCAGGTCACTGGAGATTTTGCTTAAACATTATCGACAATTGCTTTATTATCCTGTATGTCCTCAGACTGTCAGTCACTATTATGAGCTCTATCAAGTTAGCCTAATTCAATTCAGCACAGTTTTACTGAGTCTCAACTACTCTGTATAAGTACTAACCTATGTATAAGGCCATAGTGG